CATTGGACATTTGAAGTGGATTCGTGGATCCAACTGACCGGATTGTCGGATAAATTGGCCCTGAAATTATTGGTGAATTTCATGAGCGGGCCAGCCAGCAAATTCTTCATGCAACATGTAGCGACGTGCCTGAAACAATGGACGGTCAAAGATGTCTATGTTGCGCTATTTGATTACTGTTTTCCTGCTGATTTTAAGCAGCAATTGAGGATGCAGTTAATGAATGCGCACCAAGGCCAGCAGACAGTCCGAGATTTCGCCCGGCAGGTCCAATCGCTTGCAAAGAGAGTTCCCGGCATCAACCAGAGGCATTTGGTTCAGATCTTTTGGGACGGCGTTGACCGGAATATACGCGTCAAATTGCTCGATAAAGGCATGAATGCCGAGGATACGAGCTTGAAACGGTTGATGAAATGGGCTGTGTGTTTCGAGACAGCTATAGAAGCGGTTGAGAACGAGATTTCGCAGCCTCATCTCGCACAAGGAAACAGCGAGGGCACCAAGAGCGAAAGACGTGCAGAGAACGTCTGGAAAGATCCGAGCGCGGTCGAGACTAGACGTCGCAAGCACAACCAGCATGCCGAGCTCGAGGAGCGAGAACCGAACGCGAAGATCACTATCAATGCAGCAAGGTACGAGTACAAGAGTTCTTCTGAGTCAGAGGAGCTGTACTTGTCCGCAAGAAGGCCGCATAGACGTCCAGGTGAAGATGAACCAAGGGCAAGCTCAGATTCCGAATCCGAAGAAGAGGATGATGAGAGTTCTGGTGAAGAGTTGACCGGATCAGAAAGTGATGCCCGCAAGTTCAATTTCAAAGACAGTGACCCCGAATCTAGCAACTAGAGGAAAAGCTCGCCGAGACCGCAACGTTTGAAGAATTGCGTTGCAATCCTGGAGGGCGAGTGTAAGGGTCCGGTCTCGGCATCGGTCCCGAGGCCTACTGTGCCGCAGATCCGCAGAGGACGGCGCAGCAGAACCGGCAGCGGCGTAGTCACTTGCCGCAGCCGTAGTCCATCCTGTAGTCAGTAGTAGTCAGTTTCCCGGTCCCGAAGTTATCTCTAGATAGTATAAATACTCAGTACTTACCAGTAGTTTAGGTATTCTTGTCAAACACGGAGCTTTACCGACTCAACATCTCAGTCTAAGTAAAACTCACCCGACTTGGATCTCTGTGTGCAGCGACTTTCCATCAAGAAACTCCGTTGCCTCACACAAACCTGGCAGGAACATCTGCCCCGTCGCCCGCAATCGTGATATGTTGCCGTTTGAATTATTTCCTGTTGTAGTCATGGAATAATGACACGCGTATACAATGTAGTACATCAGACAACTTCCCTATTTATTCACGGTGTTCACCACAGAAAATCTGTTTCACCCTTCTTGATCATAGCATCCAAGCCTGCCGCAATCGGTGTATCACCGCCTACGATGTCGATGGCAAGTCCAGCGGCATCTTCCCGCTCCAGTAGCAGCGCAAGAGCCGTGGCGACATCGTCTCTCTGTATGAAGAACCCGTTCAACCGAAGCAATCATCCAAGCGAAACGAACGCACAGAAATAGTAGGTCCAAAGTGTGTGCGACCGATTGAAGCCTTCCCGGTACCAGGCTCATTGTTAAGGTAACCAGGGCGCAAGATGGTCCACTTGAACGCATCACGCTTCACGAGGTTCTTGTCCGCCTCGTATTTCCAGTGCACGTAAACTGGAATGGCGTCGCGCATGCGCTTCGAGAGCGCGATGTCCTCCTCGGTCTATGGAAAGCAAACATGAGAGAACGAACGGACAGAGTTACTGATCACGCACGTAGTGCGGCGGAATCACGTTGGGATCCCGAATATCGATGACGGAGACGAGAATGAGGCGCGGGCGTGTGCCGTTCACTGCTTCAATTGCATCGAAGACCTTCACCGCTCCTTCATAGTCGACGGCTTTCGTGCGCTCTGGCCCGCCCTTACCACCTGCGCCGGCGCTAAAGTAAACGACATCGGCACCTTGAAATGCGGCCGTGAAGTCTGCTACTGAGGCGTCCTCGAGAGAGAGGAGAAGAGGAGTGGCGGAGGCAGCCTTGATGTCCTCCTCGTGGGCTGAGCTGCGAATAATGGAGGTAACGGAGTGGGATGGTCCCAGAATTCGGGCTAGCCGCAAAGACACCTGTCGTGCATAGAATCTTAGCTGGATTGGGAGACCAAGGCAACTTACATTCCCGTGCCCACCGACAATAACGATTTTCTTGGGCATTTCGACGACTCTGAGGTGCGGCGTTTGAGGTGGTGCGAGAAAGCACAGGATCAGGAAAGAACTCAAACGAAGATGCATATCACGTAAAATCACGATTGCGAGACTTTTATCGGCGCCGAGGGTCCGAAATCGTCGAGCCTTGCGCGTTGATTTCCCGTCTCGACGTCTCCACTGAATCACTTGGAACTTGGTTCTGCATCGGGTCTTCATTCTTGCAGTGAGCTTTCATTCTCCAACAATTCAAAATTTCCTCGTATTTCGCAATTCGTCCGCAATCTTCCGCAATCCAGGGGCCGCCCGCGAGGTTGAACTGGCAAGTTTTCAGAATTTGTCTTGGGTTATATATTTGGACCTAATCCTTTGCTCCATGTATTCATGAGTGCGATAAAAGGAGCGTCCGGAGAACAACAACTTGAACTCCAGCGTGGACTCTCAGCCGAAACAGTTACCTATTCCGTCATCTATTGACCCAACGATGGACTCTGCTGTCGCTGATGTCCTTGTAAGCCGCAACTTGCCTCGCGATACACGTTTTCATTTCAATCCTAGTCATGGAACTCGTACAACACAGTACATTGAAGAACTTCCCTGTTTTCATTCACGGCGCTTATCCCAAAAAGTCTGTTTCGCCTTTCTTGATCATGGCATCCAAGCCTGCCGAAATCGGTGTGTCACCACCTACCATATCGATGGCAAGCCCAGCGGCATCGTCCCGCTCAAGCAGCAGCGCAAGTGCAGTGGCGACGTCATCTCTCTGTACGAAGAAGCATGGGTTGAGTCGAAGTAATGATTCAAGCGGAACGAACGCACAGAGATGGTAGGCGTCAAATGCGTGCGACCAATTGAAGCCTTCCCGGTACCAGACTCGTTGTTAAGGCCACCGGGGCGCAAGATTGTCCACTTGAACGCATCGCGCTTCACAAGATTCTTGTCTGCCTCGTATTTCCAGTGCATATATGCGGCAATGTGACCGCGCATACGCGTCGAGAGAGCGATGTCGTCCTCGGTCTATCGAAATCGAATATGAGAGAACGCACCCGGGAGAGAATCGTTCAAGATCACACACATAGTGCGGCGGAATTTTGTTCGGGTCCCGAATATCGATGGCGGAGACGAGAATCAGGCGCGGGCGCGTACCCTTGACTGCTTCAATTGCGTCGAACACCTTTACCGCTCCCTCGTAGTCGACGGCCTTCGTGCGCTCTTCCCCGCCCTTACCACCTGCGCCGGCGCTAAAGTAAACGACATCTGTACCTTGGAACGCTGCTGTGAAGTCCGCTACTGGGGCCGCCTCGAGAGAGAGGAGAAGGGGAGTCGCGGAGGCAGCTTTGATATCCTCTTCGTGAGCTGGGGTGCGGATAATGGAGGTAACGGCGTTGGATGGCCCTAGAATCCGGGCTAGGCGCAAAGACACCTGTCGGCCATAGTTTTAGCTGCAATGTTATTCTTTGAGACTGGTTATGTTATCTCACATTCCCGTGTCCGCCGACGATGACTATTTTCTTGAGGATTGAAGTGGCCATGGTGCGAGACGGAGAGTGCGAGAAAGGATTCGGCAATCAAAAGTTGCAGTGCCGATGTATCGATGACATATGTACCCCCCAAAAAGGAAGTCAAGTTGAAAATTCTGGAATGAAAATTATTGAGCAAGGGATTCAAAGTTGGGTAGTAAGAGTCAGTACAAAATTATTTTCAAGTCTTGGGTTGTGAGCTCCTTGATTCAAGGGAATACGGAAGACTGCAGATGGATTGCGAAATATGGCTCCTGGGTCTAGTCTTTCTTGAGCCCTCATCCAGCCGTCCGGAAAGCGGTAGGAAAATCGCCCCGGATGATCCCTCGCCGTTAGAAAAATTATGCAGCTTGGAATCTCCGCTTACCTTTCACCTTGTTTGGTTGGAAACTCTATATCCGAACTGAGGCCCTGGCGGGTTGCTAGGTTATTTTCACCTGTCATTCGAAATTACAATAAATCGAGAATCAATTCAACCAGAGAAAGACCTGGTGGTGTGCGGCCACACACCTGTTCCGATTAGAATGTCGTCGTGCTTGTGGAATATTACCGGCGGGAGTCCCTCGTTCGATTCGGGGCCAGGTCTTGACGACTTGAGTTCTTTCTCTCTTTCATTTGGCCAGTCAGAGAGGTCTTCAGGGTTGTTGAAGCACATTCTCTGGCTCATATGTTTTGATTCCAGACTCGGAGTGTTGAGATTTGATGGTCTCTCTTTTGTTTGACTGGGGTTTGGATAATCTTTTTTTGTCTTCGGTTCTTGTTTAGTTCGCCCTGCTTGAAATCTTGCTTAAATCCTAAATGACAGCTGGCCGGATTGCTTGGTCTTTGTTTCTTTGAGAACGTGCAGACACAGTGGGTGATTAAAGTCCATGGCTACAGAGTGTCATCTGGGCTTCGAATCAAGTAAATATCCAGGGTTGATTTAACCAGAGAAAGGCCTGGTGGTGTGTGGTTACACATCTGTAGTTCCTCTTGGAATATCCTTGTTCGAGTCGGGGTCTGGTCCTAAACAGGAAGGTTTTTGTTCAAATTTTTCTGCCATATGTACATATACCCGAGTACGGACAGGATCATTATAGACCCGAGGGTGTGCTGGAAACATCCCTGCTGATATTGCGGCTGTGATGTATGTGTCTGCAGGAACTCCCTTGTTTGAATCAGGGTCGGGTCATGAATCTTGGGAACGACTCCCATTTTGTTCAAAGTTTTTCTGCCAAAGCCCCACCCCGAATACAGATATACCAATGCTATTGACCTGATGGTGTAAAGGTAACATCCCTGTCGATAATGTACCATGCAAGACAGATTTGCGAGAATCCCTCGTTCGATTCGGGGTCGGGCCACACTGTCTTCATCTTATTCATTTTCTCAAAAAGAATTCTACTCAGTGCCATACCACGAATACTGTACCAAGCTGTAGGGGAGCAACGGTCACGGTCACGGGCCGCCCGTTGCGTTGCCTTTTCGCTCGGGGGTCACGCCCAGTGAGAATCCCAGCGAGGGAGATCGAGCGAGAACGAGGCAAAACGAGAAATTTGATGGTTTCTCGTTTTGCCACTTCCTTGATTACCGAAGGGTCTGCGATGGCGGCGCGGTTGTGTGCGTAGAGTTCCTGAGCAGCGTGCGGGTTGTCTGGTTTGAAGGTCTTGGGCACGCTGTTCACGACCACCCGGTAGTTCGGGACCACGAGCTGCGAATCCTTGGAGAGTTTGGGCGTCCAATAGGACGCAGTCTGCTTCAGGAGGGTCACGGATTTCTCGTAGTGTGTGGCTACAAGTAGCCGCCCATGAGGGAGCACCTTGACCCCCTTCAGCTCCACCTCCTGCAGGCTGGGTACACCAGAGGCAGCAAGGGCGGCGGCGACTCTCTCCTTGATTGCCACAACGGGAAGCACGAGTACCTCGTCCTTGGCATCAAGAGCCACGACGAACTCGTTGACCTTAGCGACTGGTGCGGTTGGCGCGACTGGAGCGGGCGCGGGGGAGGTGCGCGCTGGGCTGGCGGCGGCTGCCGAGTAGGTGGGAGCCGAGTAGGGGCGGGTGGTGAGCGCGGTCTGGATCTGGGCCATGAGTTCGGCCTTGAACACGTCCAGCGACGACGTGAGGACCTCCTTGTCGTCTAGCGCGGTGCAGAGGGCGTCCAGGAGAGTGAAGAGGTCCTTGTACGTTGCTAGATTGGGTTTCTTTCCGGACGCATGTGCCTTGGAAAGACACTCTCGTATCTCGACGGCCAGAGCCTTGGGAGCCTTGGGGGTTTCGGGTGGGAACTCAGGAGGAGCGGAGGGGGGCACAGAGGTATCCTGCGTGGGTCGGGGCGCATTGGAGCGCGTTTCACACGTCGTCGACAGTGGATCCGCGCCGTCACATGGTGCCATGGTGGCGGTAGCGGATCAAAGGCCGTGTACTCATGATGCAATGGCTACATAATTAACTGAAAGTCGTACGATTTGGACTTGTCTTTATTTCCACTGTCTCTTCTTGCCTCTTCCCCCTCCCCTCCGTCCCATGTCCCGTCGCAATGCTCGCCACCAACTCGTCACCTTCAAACTACCCGTGTACCAACACTCCCACTGATACCTTGGTCCTGCTCAGTGCCTCTCCCGTGTCATTTCTCTCTGTAAAAGTGCTGCGAGCGTATCAAAGCTCTCTTCTAGCTCCTCAAGATTTAGGCCTCAATCTCTGTCCTCAAGGCCTCAAGGCTTGTCAAGACCTCGGGACTTCTCTGAAATGGTGCTTCAAAATCCTATGCTAACGCTATGCTTTGTGCTGTGTCTTCGCTGTCCAGCGGTTTTTATATACTAGTGGCGGGTGTTTGAGCATCACAAGGAACTGTCGTAGCTGTGGTTCTACACGTCCGGTTTCCTTTAGCTTCGTATGCTTATTCTATAGCTGCTGTAAAGACGCTGACCTGCCCTCTATCTAGCACAACGACCATTATACTAGTAGTCGAGTTCGTGTCTTTTTCTTGGTTACTTCTAGTCTGGCTGATCATTTGGGGCAGTGGGAGAATGCGCCTACCTCTTCTGACGAAGCGGCACTCCCTCGACACACACAGAGGCCATTTCCACGCAGATAAAGTATGTTTAGTACCTTCGTCATTTTACTCAGACAACTTATTTCTATTTTTTAGCCCACTGCTCTCAGCGTTTTTTCGGTGTATATCACAAGTCGTAAGTCTATGGATATTATTCTCTGTGCTACATATTTCTTACATTCCTATTTTAGGTGCATGATTCCCCCGAAACCGCCTCCCCTCCAACAACTGGCGTACTGTATCCGCACCCAAAGCCGCACGAGGAGTTCCGAGTCGTCGGCCGTGCTACTATGCCGCGGATATGGCACGCGGTCCAGGCGAGTGTGGGCCCCGCTTCTCTGTATCCCTAATACCAATACTCCTGTAGGCCCCACCCAATTTCGACGCGGACGAGGACCTGCATCGCATATCCGCATCATTGAAGAGCTCGAGTCGCTACGTGATAAATCCGGGACGCGAAGGCCTGCAAACTCGACTACATAGAACACGTACACCGATATGCTGGTCGCGGTGCATGTGACGGTCGCATGGCTACATGAGTGTGCGCCTGACGTGCATTCTGGTATGCTGGGTGTGGGTAGAGGGGGAGAGGATGTCCTCTGTCTCTCGATGCCTGGCAAGAGGCGGTGTGGGTAGGTGGATGGTAGATGGCCCCGTAGCGCGGGGAGGGAGGGGTGGGGTGAGCCGAGGCGGATAATAGAGCGCGGGGCAGTGGCGGGAGGCGGCGGGGCGAGGTGGCTTAGTGTAGCTCGATGTACCTCGATATACCTCAATAGTCCGAATGTCGACTCATTTTGCCTCGATCTCGCTAGATGTCTCTCGATTCAAATTGAGGTACAACGAGCTATGTCCAGCCCCAAAGCCCTCTGTGATCCGAAGAAGCTAGCCTCCTCCCTCCTCCTCACCGTCACAGACATCGTCACCGCCGACCGCTGCATCGCGCAGACCCTCGCTATCGAGTCGTCCCTCTGCCCGACTCACCGCTACGAGGAAGCCCCCACCCAGTGCTTTAACTGCCAAAGCTATGGCCACACCCAGCACCGTTGCAAGGAGCCGTCCCCCGTGTGTGCCCGCTGCTCGCAGCCGCACCGGACCACCTCCTGCCCCTGCGTCACTTCCCAAGTCAAGTGCGCGGCCGGTAAACGCTGCGACCACTTCACCCCGATGTGCGCTGTATGCAAAGGTCATCACACCTCGTACCACCGAGACTGCCCCGCCCGCATACGCGAACGCGAACTCCAACGCGCCAGCCTTGCCGGTAGGATTTTCTTTATGGGGACTGGCAACTGGCGGGGATCAAATGTCTGTTTGCATATGTTTGCACTGCACGCCAAACGACTGATTTGGATGGTAAATCCGTCTTTTGCGGTACCACACTCGCTTGAGCTTCCATACCACTAATCAAAGTGGCCAAACTCATTCTATGTATGCATCTGGAGGTATATATGTTTTAAAAACAATTGAAATGCCCTAGAAATAAGGATGTCGAATGGACATCGGGCTCGCAGGACGCGTTTGATGAGTTACGTTACGTCCTGATGTGGATCATTACTGCTACTTGGTGCATTTCTTTGGTCCGTCATAGCACATCCAATACTGGACCATTTGCCCTAAACTAAAATGCAAAACACTCGTAAGATCAATCTACAGGTAATGTTCCGCGCACATTTTTGCGTTTCACTTTCAGAGCTGAGAACTCGTGTTGCAAATGGGCGTGAAAAAACAACGAAGACAAAAATGAAAATTCTGCCCGGGACATAACCTGAAGAATCCAAAATGAAAGTAATCTTACACTTAAATTTTACCTGAATGTGGACAGTTCGTGCAGTACGACGGACCAACTGGATTTGCCATGATTTCGGTGATGGAAGCCATTACATAACCGGCATCAAAAGCCTTAGCGTTGCCAGTCCCCATTCTTTAATCCCAGCTTCGACCCACATGATCCGGCGAACCGCAACTTTTCGACGTGCCCCCTACCCTCCCCTGCCCTCTCCTCCTCTTCCCTTCCCTTATGAATAATACACCCACTACTTACAAAGCCCAAGAACTACGTATCATTTCCTTAAATTGTCACAAATCCTACGATGTCCTTATCTCACTTCTCAATTCTTCCAATCCGTCCATCTACGATATTTTATGCATACAAGAGCCACCTCCCGACCTTAATAAATTCCCATCTCTTTCTCCCTCCCATTGGGATCGCGTCCTCCCTACCTACAATACAGCCTCACCAGATACTTTACTTTACATATCAAAAACAATACCGTCCTCTAATTACTCGCAAAACACCGTTAATTCCCCTAATATAACTTCCATTACCCTTACTCTACCTACACATACCTTACACATCTCTTCCGTATATAATAGGACGGACACCGACGACGGCATCGCACCGCTCGACGACCACCTCCGCGCGCTGTCCCCCCTCCCGGCCCACACCTCCTTCGCCATCTTCGGCGACTTCAACAAGCACCACACTCTATGGTCTGGCCCCCTCCACCCAGAACGCACTGCGAGATCTGACACCACCCTCCTGATAGACCTTATGACCACCCATGACCTTCGCCAATGCGTCAAGGCTGGAACGCCCACGTACCTGTCGCCGGTGCACCACACCACCTCCACCATAGACCTCGCCTTCATCTCCGAGACCACTCTGGGCCCCTTCCTCGAGAAATGTGAGGCTCTTCCCGGCCACGGATCTGACCACGCCCTCATTGCGTGTGTCTTCTCCATCCCGCTCGAACATTGCGCGCCTCGCCTGCGCCGCAACTTCCGCGGGGCCGACTGGGAGGAGTTCCCTGACCTTCTCGACGCCCATCTCTCTCTCCACCCTCTGCCGCCGCTCCCCCTTCGCTCCCCTGAGGACATCGACGCCTTCGTCGATGGCCTCACGGAGCGGGTCGCCGCCGTACTTGAGGCCCACGTTCCGCTAGCCCGCCCGTGCCCGTACACGCGCCGCTAGTGGAACGGGGGGCTATCGACGCTGCGCCGCGCTTACAACGTGGCACACCGTGCGATCACCAAGGACCGGCCAGCTGACGCGAGCTGGGGAGCCATGCGCGCTGCCAAGAATGCGTACCACTCCGCGATCCGACAAGCGAAGTGAGCCCACTGGCGCGAGTACATCACGGAGCTCCCACGAGGCAACATCTGGCAGGCGGCGAAGTTCATCATGAACCCGGCAGGTTCCTCTGCATCCGCGCGCATCCCCAACCTCACTGCAGCCGACGGCTCCATCGCAACCACACCGGCAGACAAAGCCAAGGTCCTGCACGCCAAATTCTTCCCCCCGAAAGCGAATCTG